CATGTCTCCCCAAAGGCAGTCCCAGTGCCTGCAATTCCTTGACCTCTCCCACTCCACCCTGCTGCAGAAACCATGGCAAAAACAGCCAAAAGTGTGCTAACAAGTTAAATAAAAAGTTGGATCCTTCAGATTTTCTTTTCTTTTCTTTTTGTCTTCTTTCTCTGGCCACCAATTAGTTGACCATTTTAGAGCGAGAGATAAGCATGTGTAGGAGAGCTCTGCCCCTGTCCACCAGAACCAAGAGTGTTTTATTCAGAGTCCAAGGCCTGCAGCCATAAATTTGCAACAATAAATCTGTACTAAGAAATTCCACTGGGTAGGGGAGGGTTCTCGTACATACTTTCCTTCTGATAAGGAGAGCCTCAGAGTCTGATCCAGAGCTAACCAGATTAAGGGGCACATGCAGGGACCTTCTATGACCTGTGAGATGCCTTAATGATGTAAAGGACTATATTTCCATAAATTTAAATACAAAACTTCCTCCTGAGGTAGGATGAAGATGTGGATGACGCCAGCATGCCTGCACAAGCCTTCCCTTATAAATATTCATAGTGCTCCTTTCCTCTGTTACATATGCATGTAAGTCTAGCTACCGTGCACAAAGCTGACCCAAATCCTTTGTTTGGTGCAACAGGTCTGGGCTTTATCCTGCTTCCATGCCTGACTGTCAAGGCACTAACAGCCGCTCCTTTCCTGACTGCGAGCCGTGACTGTGAAGGTACAGCGGTGCACAGGCTGGGCTCAGCTTCACCTCTTCCCTGAGCTCCTACACTTGCTCTGGAGTTTAAAAATTCCCTCAGCTGGAGTGTCATCTTGGAGGCTGTCATTGTTCATCATTCTGACTGTCTCTATGACAACAGGAACAACGGCTAACATAGATGTGGTGCTTACACTGTGCCAGGTTTGGATTCACCTGTTTTAGACACACACGGTCCTAGGAGGTAGATACAATCATTAGTCTCATTTTGCAGAAAAGAAAACTACATTTGGTGAGGTTAAGGTCTCATGGCTGGTAAATATTGGAACAAAGATTCAAACACAGTCCTAGAGGACAGGGGCCCAGGACCCAGGCAGAAACGGGCTCTGTGAGCCACTGGAGAGAAGGGCATTAAAGTCAAAGCCCTCAAATCCTAAATCAAACTCCAAACCTCCCCGTCAAATTCATCCTTTCCCTGTGCCTCCTGTCTCAGAGATCGGTGCCACCAGCCAGGAGGCCACCAAAGGCAGAAACTCACAAGTCATCCTCGCTCCTCTTTCTCCTCACCCCTACTGTCAGTCAGGCACCAAATCATGTCGCTTCCTTCTCCTTATTGTTTCCAGACTTCGAAATCTCTGCCTTCCCACTGGTTACCATGTTGGTTCAAGAGCTCAGCACTTCACACCTGAGTTATTAGAATAATTGACTCATTTCCTTCCTTTATTTTTACCTTAATCCAGTCCCTCTCCAATCACTATCAATAATATCATCATGAACTATGACGACACTGTTAAAGGACTATTTCGCAACAAATTTCGTTTTGCGAGTCTTAATCAACTTTCATGATGGTTCTAGAATTGTCAGTCCAGCTGAAAACATTTCAGAATTCCCCACCCACCACATGTGCAAATTATAGTTATTGCCAAAGAAAAGGAAGTGGCAACAGAAACACCTGACTGGCTAAAATCCATATTCACCTTTGCCGCAAGGTTTTTCTTTTCTTTTTTCTTTTTTTTTAATCTTCAGCCTCTGATTGGCTGAAAGGTTAGCAATTGTGATTAGTCGAGGGTCAGTAGCTTAGCCACCAGGATATACTCTTTTATTTATTTATTTATTTATGTATGTATGTATGTATGTATGTATGTATTTATGTATTTATGTGTTTATGTATTTATTTATTTATGTATTTATTTATTCTTGAGAGGTTTTTGCTCTAGGGCATGTGCACTCTCCAGAGAGACACAGAAATTCAGAAATTACCCCTCGGAGGGAAGGCCATGCTGCAATCCCTTCTCCTCCCTTCTCCTCGCAGGATTTTGGGCACACCTGGCATGAGTTTCAAGCCACTGGGCACTGGGTGTGGACCTTGAACTGTGATCAACTACCTGGGAGTCCCACAATGTTAACCAATTCACTATCTGCTGTTCTCCCAGATAGGTTCAGGAGCAACAGGCCTGCACATCAAGGTGAGTTACAGTTCAGGATATAAAGAGACTGCTTTGACCCAAATATTATCACCCTGGTATGGAGACAGGGTTAGTCCGATTCAGCTCAATTTAATAAATCTCCTTTGGTCATTCTCTCAACCTTCAAGGATGAGAAATGCCTCGACCTTCTGTAATCGTCGTAATGAATCTGCTTGATTTCAGCGTTATCTACAACTTCACAGTTAAATTAGTAAGATGATGGCTATGTTTGATGTGTTTATTCTCCCAACTGTAATGAGACCATCTGACATGCAAAGGATGACCGTACACAGGAATTTAAAATGTTTGTGCGATAAGATACAATGCACGGTGCCAAGACATGGAGATAAAATTTTCATCGAAAGTTGTTTTAGCAGATAGGACCTCATTCTCATTTTCCATCCAAGAGTTTATTTTGATGTTAATGTTCAATTTCTGAGAAGTGCGTGTAAATAATTTCCCTGTAATCTTGGCAGCTTCATCACACATAAAATTCCTTTCACCAAATTCATAGTTCACTTTTTCAAATCTATACTTTTCTTATCCATTCATTTTTGCTGTATACTTCTGTCAACCTAAAAATAAATGAATCCCAAGTTAGCATAATGAATGACAAAGTTTATGCAAGCATTAATTTGAGGCTGATCAATCAGAGGAAGACAAAAGTACTTGTTACCTGTAGTCAGTGCTCTCAAACTGGTGACATCTAGGGTTCATTTTTCAGAGACAGAAAGAGAACTGAGGAGAAAAGAGGACTCTAGTAGTGTGTGTGTGTGTGTGTGTGTGTGTGTGTGTGTGTTCCTTTACAACCTGCTGGCCTGTTTTAGACCTTGGCCTGCTGTCTTGTTTAAAAAGCTGTTTAGGGAACCAGCAGTTAGCGTAATAGCTATGTCGCTGGACTCCCACGTAGTCGACCGCGGTTCGCGTCCTGGACCCGGTGGCTTAAAACTCACGCCGGGCACGTGTGCGCGCGTGCCCAAGATCCCAGGAGGAGAATGGAGGAGAAGGGATTGCGGCGTGACCATCTCCCCTGGGGGGTGATTTCTCGCTTTTTGTCTCTATGTCTCTGTCTGTCTGGCGAGCGCACGCGCCCTATAGTGAAAAAAACCAAAAAAACAAAAAACGAAAAACCTCTCAAAAAAAAAAAAAAAGCTGTTTAATTGAGGCCAGCAGCTGGTATGGTGGATAGAGAGCTGGACTCCCATATGGTCCACCTGGGGTCCACCTGGGTAGAGTCTCGGAGGCTTGAAACTCACACTGGGCATGTCCGAGAGAAGGGATTGCAGTATGTCCACCCCCCACCCCCGGGGGGGGATTTCTCATTCTCTCTCTCAGGTGAGAGTATGCACCCTTTAGCAAAAATCTTTCTTTAAAAAAAAGACTGTGTAACTGATGCGGCCCCTTCTCCTTGGCCATTGCCACCTGACTCCGGATGCAGAACTGTGGGGAGAGTTCACCCGTGT